ATTATTATTTAAACTTAAATATAAATTTCCTAACTAGTGCCCGTGTAGTACACGGTTGTTGTAATCTATATATATATAAAAAGAATTATCATTTTTTAAAAATAGTAAGTAGAAAGTTTGACAACATTAATTGCATGCCATTTTTGGAAGTATTTTGAATTTTTTTAAATAACAAATTGGCAAGCATTAAATGTAGCCTAAAATTAGGGATTTAGAAAAAAAAAAAAAAAAACCGTAATTATAGCTTCACAAATTTCACACGTATTTCCAAAATTATAGCATTGTGTTATTTGTCTTTTTTTTTATACTTGAGTAATCTATCATTTTATAAAAAGAATAACCTTTTTTTATAAATTTAGAAACAAGATCATTAATTATATACTAAAAATACCACAATTAAAGAAATTTTAACTAAATGTCCATTTGTTTGGAAAAAATCCCTATTTATATGGATTCTTTCAGATATTTTTGGTATATATAAAAAAAAACAAAAAACAAAAAAAATGAGATGAGTTATTTGATTTCCATAAAAATCAATAGCAATAATTTGGTAGGTATTAGTAAATTTTTAGTGCGAATAATTTATATGCATACGTAACTTTTTTATTAAAGTTAATGTGAAATCAATAATTGATCTAAATCTATTGATTAAAATTTTCAAAAATTTTCAATCAATTATTTTGTTTCTACTTAATTTATTTTTATTTTTATTGATATGCTATCATAAGATTGGAAAAAGTATTGGTCGATAAGATAAAAAATTTGTAATTTAATTCTATAAAATTAGTTGATAAATTTGAACGATAAAGTAACCGACAACAACTTTAGAAAATTACGAGATTATATATATAATATATTCATACATCAAATATATAAGGGAATTTAGTGTGTAGTCCAAATTTGAGTTCCAAATTCATTAGTCAAATAAGTAATTATTCATAACTTATGAGTCAACATTAACTTTGACGACGTAAATGAAATAGTCAATTATTCATAGTTTAATAAATTACTCAACCACTTCAATTTTTTGATTCGAATATTTCATATAAAAACAAAATCATCTAATTAATGAAACATTATATGATTTATAAATATACTTATTATTCACATATATTTTTAAATAGACGAGAAAAAATTACAACTTACCTATAAATTCGATTTTAAAAAATTCGATTGTGTTTTTTTATTCCAAACAATCTGATTGCCGAAAATTTTTCCTTATAACATGAATTGAAAATTTGAAATTCAAAATCCCTTCTCATTTTAGTTGCCATAAAATTAGGTTTAATTCAAAATTTCTTCCTAATATAAAGGATTTTGTTCAAATTGAATTTCAAAATTATCTAATCACATGCTTCTATCCATGTCCTTAAATGAAGGATTTTGTGCCGCTTTAAAATTAAGAAACCTATTGGAAATTATAAAAATCATAATGAATTTCTATTTTTCTGGTTTCAATCTGCACGAAATTCAAAATGGTTTAAGAATTTCAAATCAACTGAAATTCATCTCTTTAATTTTTTTTCATAAGTTTCAAAATTTTACAATAATTAAGTTAACAATTGCATTGTTTCAAAAATCAAGCGGATAATTTTGAAAATAGGCAATTTTTTTTTTTTTCAAAATTGTCTTAGTCTCCGTTCAATAAATCTACATAAAGCGTGAAATTTTATGTCTACAAAATTTCTTTTCACAGTAACTAAAAAATAATAATATTTTTGAAATTTTTGTGCTCAAATTACTTAAAAGAATAATAATAATAATTTTGAAAATTTTTGTACTCAAATTACTCAAAAGAATAATAATAATAATAATTTTGAAATCTTTTATACTCAAATTTTACGGTAGTATCGTCATTATTTTCAGCACCATGTCAATATTTATTTTATATATACTAGGTAAATTTTCTTTCAAAAACTTTATAATCTATTTATTTAGGCTTAAAATATTTTATCATGTCATATTCAGAAAACATCTTTCATACAAATGTAAACTTTAATATTTTAGATATATTTTCCTTACAAAATAGTTTAGAAAAGTTGTAGGTGACTTCACATTTTTTAATAATAATATAGAAAATTTTAGATAATTTTACGTATGTTAATACAATATTTTAGGAGTTTTCAATTGTTTAAATATATAAATGTTATGTTCTCTTGAACAAGCTAATTTTATATAGTTTATAATAAATTGATATACCGTAAATTATATGACATGTTAACCCCACATCGTTAATTTATAATTATTATTTAATATCATTTACCCTCATCTTTAATTTATAATATATTTTCTTGCTCTTTTAAGAGGATCAATAGTGGTTCCCCACTTCTTTCATTGGGTGACTCGAACTCTATACTTATTTATAATTATTATTTAATATCGTTTACCCGTGCATCGCACGGGATACGCACTAGTAATACTAAAATTGTTTAAACTTTAATTGTGAGTTCAATTAGTTCATGCCCACAAACCTTGTGTTAAGATTCTAAAATGTATGTGTGTCTCTTGTCACACCAACATATATATTATATACCTTCATGTTAAGATTCCATATTAAAATAGAAATTTGATAATGTTTCTATAATTTGAAACATGGTTTATTTGCTTTCACTTTAATCTAAAATTGAAAATAGCAACTTTAATTCAAAATTCAAACAATTAATAAAATTTCTATATTTTGATAGTAAAACATGCTCACCATAGTAAATAAAATAATACACCAAACCTTGCATTTAATATTATTTTAATAACAGGCTCACCATAAAAAGTAAAATATCATGTATCTTGGTCAAAGTAATGAGAGAGCCGGGTAGTAAAAACTTTTGAGGGAGAGCTTTGTCGCCCTTGTGGTCCTACCCGATTCGATTCCGGATTAGTCGGTTCCTCTGTAGATCCAGAAACCGGAAGGTTCCTGTATCAAAAAAAAAAAAAAAAAAACTTTGCAAAGGTTGCCGTCATAATTTTTTTCAATCAACATAGTAATATATGGGAAAAATGCATTTCAAATATGTAAACGTAAATAGACATATATATATATGTATATATATTCTGTATTTAATTACTGAATATTAAAAGTCATAAAAAACATTAATTACAAGTTTCAATTCTATAAAAATATTTCTATTTTCAACCATTTTTCATCCATGTATTGAAACAGTAATAATACTGTCAGACAAGTCCAAAAGTTAAAATATTTTATTAATAAATTTGTACTATGTTTTACAAAACATTTGGTATATATATAAAAAATGAAATCGATGAATATGTAAACACGTCTAATTTGTTATAATATCTCATAACGGAATGTGTATATATAAAAATTACACTCGTTCATCGTTAATACTCAATTCAATTCGAGATTCGTCATTAAAAAATTCATTTATGTCGAGTTCGTTAATGTTGGACACTAAATCCACACGATGTTTTCTATTTAGAAGATCTAAAAATTCAGATCAAAACGAACGTCAATCCATGTTCGACTCGACTCAATTCCGACCCAACTTGATCGTGGTCGTCTCATAGCAAAAAAATATTTTTTTTAGAAAAAAAAAAACAATCCCAAAATGCATACTTTATTTGCATTTTCACCTTCCCCTCTTTTGTTAAATAAAATAAAATAAATAATAATCTTTCCCTCAAAATATTTAAAATTGCAAAGTAGCCCCTCCTTCAACTATTTAAAGGCACTGTTGTAAATTTCAAAATAGAATAAATTAAAAATGGTGCTCTGGGTTTTTGGCTATGCCTCATTGATTTGGAACCCAGTTTTTGAATTTGATGAGAAGGTGATTGGGTTCATTAAGGACTACAGGCGTGTGTTTGATCTTGGTATAAGTTTTCTTTTTTATTATTCCAATTTATTTATTTATTTATTTATAAATAGTAATAATAACAATGATACATATAATTTGTCACCATTTTTTTTCAGCCTGCATTGATCACAGAGGCACCCCTGAGCACCCTGCAAGAACATGCACCTTGGAAAAGATCGAAGGAGCTATATGCGTAAGCTCGAAAATCGGAAATGAGAAAAAAAACATCGCTCGATTTTCTTTCGGAATCATGGCTTTTTCGAACATTTCTAACAGATTCATTATAATTTCTTTTTTCTATGATTATGTAGTCTTTTTTTGTGTGGTCTTAAATGTTTGTTGCCTTATACATTGCCTTACTAATGTTGAGTTTCACACATTGTGGTCCTTAATTTTATGTTTAAAATTATTTTTCACTTTTCAATTTT